AATTTTTACTTCTTTGCTAAAAATCTCACGATCCAGATCTGAAAATCCAAGAAGAGTGTCCAAAAACCAAAACAAAAAAAAAACAGGAACAAAGGAGGGATTTCAAGGCTATTTTCTACTTCTGCTTCGTTGCTTCATGATTTCCGGAAATCCGAGTGCTATTTGAGCTATATAACTGATATCCATTGTGGTTTGGGTTGTTCCTGTTCTGTTGATTCACCTGCTCTGATTTTATTTAGCTATTTGGAAATCTCTACATTGCTTTTGAGGTATGAACTTGATTCAGATCATGTAATCGTTGATTTGGTGCTATAATACCATGAATTTGTAGTAATTTTATCCGTTTCATGTGTCCGAAATGTATTCCAATATCACCTACCCAATTGATTGAATTTGAATTACTCTGGTGCATGAAATTAGTATAAATCCATGTAGCAAAGAGGCATAGTTGTCTGCATAAGTGTTCCTGTTGTAATTAATCTGAGCGCAATATGAACATGATTGTAATTTATAGAATTTCTAAGTGCGCAGCCATGAACAGATGAATGGACTTTTTGATATTTTTAATCCATTGCATTCTAGTGTAAATTTGGATGAATGTTATCACGTTAATTACAGTCATTTGGAAAGGCATGGCGCAATAAGGTTTTGCTTTGCTCACACCCTTACTCTTGTGTTGTACATATCTATTTGGTCTTTGTATCTATAGAATTAAAGATAGATAATTTAAGTCCAGATTTGAGGAGATATGTTGTTGTAGGGTTGCTACAGCAGATGCCTTTTAATTTTTTGGACAGAATTTGTGGCATTGGAAAGTGTTTGTCTTTTCTTCTCTATATGAATGTGAAAATCCTTTTCTTTGGCAGTATTCTGTATCCTTGGATTTATGGATAAGCCTCAATGATCTTGTTTGTGGTGTGCATGCTAATTAGCGATGTTTTTTTTTTCATTTAAGATAATTGAATATTTTTTACGCCATATGGATGCTATCTTTAGTTTAATTGAGTAAATATATGTAAGTGAACAACGGTTTTTGGTTAATCTAGATTGTTTTCATTCTGGACGAGTTGTTTTTGTAGTTCCAAATTTGAATAGTGTGTATTCGTATTCTTAATTAATTTTTAGATTGTCTTATATGTACTTCTATAAAGAAACTCCATAATACTTGAATCTTTCATACGCGTTCTTGATCTCTAGGAAAATAATCAATTCTCAAATGTGTAGTTACTTTAGGCGCGTAATTTAATTTAACTTCCTTAAACTCGGGTGTGCATTTATATGACCAAAATCTAAATCTCAACAACGTTAGACAAAATGTGTCAAGGACTGCGGGTGCATTTATGTGACGTTGGTTCAAGACTTGTTTTAGATGACGTTGAATCTTTCCCAATAATTAAATAAATGCGGATATAAAGTTAAAATTGCACCATAGGTTGAAACATGTACTAACATCAAGTAAATAGGCCAATTATAACAGTTGAGAGACCGTGCTATAACCACGTAACTCGGGAATGCCTAAAACCTTCTTCCGGGTTAACAGAATTCCTTACCCGGATTTCTGTGTTCGCAAACTGTAATACAGAGTCAATCTTTTCCTCGATTCGGGATTTGAATCGGTGACTTGGGACACCATAAATTATCCCAAGTGGCGACTCTGAATTTTTAAATGAATAAATCCCGTTTTGATTGTCACTTTAAGTTGGAAAAAACTCCCTTATACATCCCTTTATGCGGGTGTAGGAAAAGAGGAGGTGTGACAGATGTCACGCCCCAAAAACCGAGGAGCGCAACCGGCGCTCAACCGAGTAAACCCAACTGAGCAAGCATGTTAGGTTTCATTCTACTCAAACTAATTCTTGAATAAATATGAGATGGACTCCATTAATCATACTTTGTAAGTATTTCATTAACAACTTCCATTTTATTTCCATTAGCAGCTTAATTCATAAATATCAAAATATTACAAGTTTTATAAATCTTTGCCAAATATCAAGATTTCTAACTCAATTCCCTATTATCAAACACCACCCATACAAAAGCAATTCAAGTTGTAAGCATAGAGAAGAATTCTCATGATTCGGCATAATAATCACAATTTAAACTTGACTTGAAATCTAGGCAATTTAGCATATAGTTCACATTCTTCACATATCCCCAATATACCAAGAATAGCACATTGAACACATTGAGACACACCTTTCACATATATTCTTGCAACACCAAATCCTTTGAAATAATAAATACAACATAAATCAAATTCCGGACTTACAACATATGCGGGGACACTATGGGAGCTCAATTTCTAAGAAGAGGGGTTTTTAGCCATACATACCTTGTTTAAACATTTCTTAAGTTTCTACAATCCACCAACACCTCTAGCAATAACAATCTATAAGGGAAAGAGAAATCAATTAATAATTTAGAAGGATTTCCATGGTATAACTCTGTTAGGAATTTCATCAAACAATTAATCATGTGAAATAGACTACAAGGTTTTACAATGGAAATTCCTTCTTCTCTCATCCAATTTCATCAAGAACTACCCAAAATAGTTCATTAATCCCACATACTATAGCTTAGTGTCACATACATGGCCTATTTCTAACCCCACAATATATTTTTGAACTCATAATCTCACATATGAAATATTAGAAGTAGGACTTACCCGGAAGATAGTGAGCTAGAGATTAGCATGCTTGATTCTTGAGAGTTTGTGCAAGATTGATGATTAGGAGGCTAGGTTCCCTCTTTATCTCTCTAAAATGCTCTCACCTCTCTCTAAATTTAGTGTAAAATGCTCCCAAATGAAGCCCCAAAGCTTATTTATCAAAGTGGGTTCAGATATGAAAATTTCCAAAAATGACCCCCGAAGTCAAATATGTGGTGCAATTATGCTATAGCATAATCGAAATGTGGGCAGTATTCTTGAAACATAATCATTATGCGATAGCATAATCGACAGCATAATCGATTATGCTACAGCATAATCAACATGCGACATCATAACGTTTTGACTGAAATTATGCGACGCATATGCGGTCCGCATAGTCGTTTTGCGATCGCAAAATTGGTCGTAAATCCAGCCTTTTGTAATTTGATCATAACTTTGTGTACGCATGTCCAAATGACAAACGGTTTGAAATATTAGAAACTAAACTCGAAGACCTTTCATTTTATAGGTTGTTCATCACGTAAAACCTTATATATATATATATTTAGATATGCTCATCCAAATTGTGGTCTTGTGCGAACTCATTTGGAATTTTAGCCTAGTATGAAATTTTCCAATTTGACTTAGACTTAGACCTCATATTAGACCCCACATTACACATTATAAGATTTATACACTTATTTACCAAATCTAATTGATGCCCATCATGTTAATAGCACATAAAATATTATAATTAGTCTACCTGGCACCACGAAATCCTAAATTACTTGGAAAAATTTCCGGGGCCTTATAGAAGATGCTTCTGCTGCCAAAGATCTCCTGCATTATCCTCCACAGTCTTGGTGTAGAGAATATTTTGACACTCAGTGTAAAGCATGATGGTCGACAATAATTTCACCAAGTCGTTTAATGCATGGATTCTTGAAGCTAGACATATGCCAATTATCAAGATGCTCGAGGAGATTAGAATAAATGTTATGAATCTGTTAGCTATCAATGAAGATAAAATCAGGTAATGGCTAGTTATAATGAAATGTTCTGCTTCTATTTTACACTCCTTTGGATGGCACAGTAAAGATGGTGGAGAGGGTACAATATAAAGTAAAAAGAAGCAAAAGGATAGTACAATATCGACTCTTAGTAATGAAGATGATTGGTTGGACTTTGAATCTGAAACTGAAGCACAAACACAACAATCTTATTACTCTTCTCAAGGTCACAAGCCTATGGTCCAGATATTGGCGATGAGGAAGATCCACCATTGAGACTATAAATCATCTCTGAGTCACAATCAATACTTAGGGAAAGAAGGCTGAAAGCAAGACTACCAACTGGGACTAGAAGGATTCAATTTACTGGGGGTGCAGATGGAGTGTTTATGCCAACAAACTTGCCTTACTCACAAACTAAGGTAACTTGGAAGGGGAAAGCTGCAGTTACACTTAGCCAACTCCAAGCTGAAGTAAGAAAAAAGAAAAAGAAGATGGAGCCAAATGGGGAAGGAGTCCCTGTACCAAATGCTGAAATTTAGCATAAGTTGGCTAATTAATTTTGTGAAAAACTTAAGGAACTTAGTTTATGGATGACTATTATGCACAAAACTATTGATTTTTGGTGAATGTTATTTTGGTTTAACTGGTTATTCAGCAGTGTTGATGTTGATGTTAGCATAATACTAGATGTTAACTGGCTATTTTTGTGACTGTTACCTTACAACAGTGGTTACTAATTATCTCTGTTTTGAAGTTGTTTTGATTTGGTCATCATTTCCTCTCAGTTATCTTGCAGCAGTTGTTCAACATTTGTTTTGTTTTGAAGCTGTGATTGTTAATTGTGACAGCAACACATCCGAGGTTGCATGAATTCTTATAGATGCTTGTCTTCTCATCTTGAAAACCTGAAGCATTCTAAGTTGTTTTTGATTCTAGGATATTTATAATGGGAAGATTTACACCAGTCATTTGCTTCTACCTTCGTTCAGTTGTATGTATCCTCTATCTTTAATGTTTTTTTCTTCTATAATCTCCCATTATCAGGGATTTAAGCGCTGTGGACTAGTAGGACTTTGCATGTACAACTGAATGGAACTTTTACAAAGTTGATATATACCTTTAACACTCGCAAGAAAAAAGTAAAATTGAACTTAAAAGCATGCAAGTTAAAGTTGATCAATCAGTCTTGTTATATTTGCTTTAGTACAACAGCTAGCTAGAAGAGGCAAGAGCCTTAATTAGCTGAAGACTAACAGTCACAACTTCAAAACAGTCACAACTTCAACAACACATGAAGTGAACACAATGCTGCTGAGAAATTACACAACACCAGAAAGTTCACACAATGTTGTTGAGAAATTACAACCATAGCATTACAATGCATTTAAATTACAACCATATTTTTAACCATTACATTAGAAATAATACTATTCATATTACAACTATTTTCATCCAACCATTACAATACAATGCATCTAAATTATACAACTAAAACAACCATAAGCAATTACAACCATAAATAATTACAATATTTTCAAGTCTTCCCTCAAAACATAAAACTAACACAAATCCAATAATGAAACTCAAAAACATAAGAAATAATTTTTCCACCCTATTTCCAAGCACCCTGTTTCCAAGTCTTTCTTTAAAAAGAGCATCCTTTTTCCTTTTCAATTTGTTGATGACAATAATTGCTCTTGGTGGAAATTCATCGTCTTCCCATTCCCAATAACCACATCCAGTTTTCTGCAATAAAACATAACATCATAACAAAAATAGATTGCAAATATGCCAAAATCATTGGTCCAAATCTGTCGGAATAAGCATTAATTAGGTAAAAAAACAGAAAACTTACATCAGGCTTATGACACCTGAAAAAGTGTCTTCTGGGATTCATTTCAGTTCGCAATGTGAGATGGAGTGTAGTAACTCCACATCTACACATCCTTCGATGGCTATTTGAAGAACTCGAACATTCCGACATTTCAAAGCAAATGAAAGAAGTAAGAAAGGAAAGTGAGTGGATCAAGCAAGATGGAAACGACTTGTTGTTCCCGAAAAAACAAGATGGAAATGTTTTGTATAGGAAGAAGAAGACAGAAGGAAGAAAATGACAGAAGGAAGAGAGAAAGGGGTGGGGGAACGTCTGTTTTAGGGTTGGGGCGAAACAGTGTAGGGGATTAAGTTTGGGTCTTTTAGAATTGTGGGTGGGTCGGGTCTGGTCGGTAGATTTAGGTCGGGTTTGGTATTAGATAATTAAAAAAAATGTTGGTTCTATCTAATAAGGGCATGGATGCACAACTATTGGACGGTTTGGACATATTTGGGCCAAACTAATAACGACAGGCATATTTGTCCTATTTCACGTAGTTCACGGGCATATTTGGACCTTTTCCGTTACTAATATTAGGACCGGATGGAGTAGTTCATAGTTTCTCGTTTTCAAACTGAAACCCTTTGCTACATGTTACTAAATATAAGACTAATTAAAAAAATAAATTATTCCTCTTTTTCATTGAAAAAAATTATTCTTTGGTACATGAGCAAAAGATGGTATCCATCCTAACCAAGAAGATCTAAGAAAAAAGCTAGATCAAAAAGGGACTTTCAGTCAAATAATTATGTTTTTAAATGGTTATACTCGGATAGCCAAACTTTGAATATCTCTTGAATAAATACCATTTCCAGAGCAACTAAATGTATGACAAGGTTCCTTACATAGGTATTTTTTGTAATACATCAAAATTAACTTAACTTCTATTTGACATAAAGCTGTCTATTCCTTCTCATCTCGTCGTCGTCGTCGTCTAACAAATAACTTGGATAAGGATCTGCTAGGTTACTAAAGTTTGAAATCTCCATTTAATTGAAAATGAAAACATAAAATTAACTGAAGCTTTCTAAACATAACATTAATTGAAGCTTTACAAACATAAAGTAAAGTGAAGCTAACTAAAAGCTTATTGAAGTTAACTAAAGTATTCTCTATGGCTATACGCATCATAATAAGAGAAAAGAAAGACATATCTTCTTTAAAGTGTTTGAATAAGATAGCCATGATGTTAACTAAAGCATCCAACATAAAGTTATCAAAGCATTTGTCACGACCCCAAATTCACTAGCTGACCATGATGACGCCTAACCCACTTGCTAGGTAAGCTAAGCATAACAAAAACAAAATACAAAAGCTGAATTAATAAAAATAGTACAAGTCTAAAGCTAATTAACATAAACAACAGTGCCGATACATAATAAATTTTCAGAACTGGTAAATTTAGAGTCATGAGCTCTAAACGGAAATACAATTCTGAAATGCTAAATAACAATTGTTGCACCCTATTTTGCACTAGTCAAAATAAGATTCAACTTGTGATTTCTTTGTTGTTGATGAAAGAGAGTCGCCACCTAATATTTAAAGGTATACTAGGGTACCTATTTAATTACTAAAGTCATATTCTTTATTAGTCTGCTATCGTTGTGATTATGGGTAGGGGTTTGTTCTTTTAAGGGGAAGGTGTTGGCACCCCTTAAAATATGCATGAGATAGCTCCATCGGACTTAAACTAAATTCAAAGGACAAGTTATTTGTATTATGCTTAACTAGTGTATAAAAAGGTACGACTTACTAAATAATTAATTTAAAACTTAACACTTGAAAATAGGTGTCTAGTTTTTAAAAGGATATGAGTTTAGAAAAAAAATTGAAAAGAATATTGGTATATATATATATATGATTGAGAAAATTTTAAAGTATGCATATAATGTTTGTCTTTATAAAATATGCGAGATGAGGCTCAGTTATGAACACTTTGTATTTAAATGGTGTGGCTATTTATAACTCTAATAAAGTAAGGGTATTGTAAAGAATTGGGTCTAAGATGTACCTTAGTTTCAAATCTCATATTTTGACTTTGAAGAAATCATTAGAAGCCCCTCCGGTAGAGCAACGGTAGTTGTTTGATTTTATTTTGTTGAAAGCTCGATTTCAAAGACTAATTCAGATTTTGTTTCTGATTTTTGAAAGAGAATACTGTCAGCCTTTGCTAAATTTTTTTTGGTTCCAAAGGACTTCGTAAGAATTGATAGTAAAGATTAAGAGATGAATAGTATAAATGATTAACGAATTATAACTATCTACTACTAAGTTTAACACTTATTTTAATCCTACTTTTTTAGGCTTTCCTGGATTATCTACATGATTCAAAAACATAGAGTAAAACATTCAATCAAATATGGGAACTGTTACATACAGGTGTGAAACAATAACAAACGTAAATAAAGCAGTAGAGGAAGTAGTGACTCTGGTTTGGGCATGAAGAGAGGTAGGCCCAGCAAATAATAGAAGTAGATAGCGGCAGACTTCAGACTTCCAAATGCACAGGTACAGGACTTAGGCCTGAGTTGTTTGAGAACTTGGCAGGCCCAATGGTAATACACGTTCAAAAAGAAAGAAATAAGGTCATTAGATGTGTTGTTTCAATGTATATAGTTATGCATGAAACAAACTATCATGGGCCTAGGTCGAATTACACAATTAATAAACAATCTAGAATATGAAAATTAGTGTGGAGTCACAGATAGTAAAGTAATTCACAATGAAGCCTTTTGTTGTCATTAAACACTAAACCTAAAGGGAGTAATAAATGTTAATAGGTTAGGGGCTAAGGGTAGAATTTCATTCAAGGCCAAGGCATTCTTTGGATTCCTGACACTTCAAAATTTCCAAGGGTCTTAAGGTCCAGGACAGTGCATGTGTCAGGGAGAGTAACCCAACCAAAAACTAAACTCTACTCCCTGTCGTACCTCCTTTTTACCTGAAAGGGGTATAAGAGAGTTTTTCCAATTAAAGTGACATAAATCGAATGGGATTACTTATTTAATTTCAGAGTCACCACTTGGAATAATTTATGGTGTCCTAAGTCACCGGTTTATTTTAAAATCCCAAATCGAGGATATTGACTCTATTTTTTTTGGTCCGCGAACACAGAAGGCCGGGTAAGGAATTCTGTTAACCCGGGAGAATGTGTTAGGCACTCCCGAGTTCCGCGGTTTTAGCACGGTCGCTCAACTATTAATAATTGACCTAACTATCTGATTTATTACATGTGTTTAAACCTATTGTGCATTTTTAAACTTTATAACCTCTTTTATTTATTTATGAAATTATTTCTGGAACAAGTCATGATTGTCGTATACTTGTCGTTTTGGTACACACTGCAGACCGCGTCACGAGAACCGTACTCACAATTTACAACATGTTTATGTTTTATTATTATTCGAAATTATGGTCGGGTCACATGAAATGCACACCCGAACTACTATCGATTTAATTAAATAAAGTGAAATAAAGGAATAACAACAAAACTATCCAAAATTCAAATCTTATTAATATTCGGTATTTGCCATGATCAATTTATCCTAAGAAATTCAAGTCCCCCTTTTTTTTAAATAAATAAATAAAAAAATACCACAACTCCACTGCCCGTCATTCCCATTATTTTAACAACCACACATGTAATAATCAAAATCATTTAATTCAAAATCATCACCAGGAAAACAAAATCGTCAATCACACATGTAATAATCAAAACCCACATTTAATTCAAACTCAATCATGATCTAACACAACCAATATAAAAAAAAGATCTGGAGCTTAAGAGAAAGAGAAAGGAACCTTTAAATATCTGAAATTTGATTCTTTCACGGAGAACTCGAAAATGTAAGGACCGCGAATGAAAACTGAAATCGGCACCGGAAACCCCAAACTAAACCAAACACCTCCACGGTAATTCAATTTGCAACAGAACCATTTTTATTTTCTATTTTTCATAACTACAAGTTTGAAGTCTACAGCAACAAAAGGAATCTATATCCCTTTTTTTATGAATTGATCTTCAGCACCTTCTGCTACGTTAATCTCCAAATCCTTTGTTGAGACTCGTTTCCCTTGTCCGTTCTTATGTTTGTCTCTGTGTGTGTGTTTCATTGCTTCTCTTTTTTTGTTTCTTTCCAATCCCCTTCCCGTTCCCTTTTTTTTGTCCAATCCCGTCACTATAGCGTCCCTCCCCTTGATTCCCTTTTTTTCCTCTGTTCTTCGCCCTTTTCTTTGTGTGTGTGTGAGAGAGTATGCTTTTAATTTTTTGAGAGCGAGAGATTTGAAAGTCGCCAGGCGCTATTCATCAAGCCTAAGGTCTGTAGGGTTAGGGAAAGGTTAAAGATGGGGTAAAGGGCTAAGGTTATTTGGGCTAAGGGTAATTAGGTTTGTCCAAAATTGCTTAAGAAAATTAAAAAAACGAGACTAGTTTTGGGGTTGTTCAAACTCTTTTAGCTAAAATCCCATATCTTATTCTAAAAAGTATAATGTATTTATAAAATATAGAATTCACTCTTAATTAAAATAAAACTACAAAAATAAAGCTAAATACTAAAAGTGAAACTATTTTTGTATATTTTTAATTTTAGGAAAGGTAGATAAACTAAAAGTAAAATAAAATGTCAATTAGCTAATAAGAGAAAATATTTATGCAATTTTTATTTCTGTGATAAAATAAAGTGAAAGAGTCAAAACTAGTTAAAATAGCGATATTAGACCTAAACTAAATATTTGACACTAAAATGTATAAAATCTCAGGGAGGGTAAAAAATTACATGTCTACAGCTGCCCCTCTTTGACTGGAAACTCGAAGAGTTTTCAGATAAAGAACGACGAGACAAGTTTTTTGATCTGACCCTTATTTAGAGAGACCAAAACGAAAAGAAAGGAGAACGTGACTGAGCCCTGGTATCTGAGCTTCCTACATATCTTTGGCTATAAAGGAATCAGGTCACGTGTAGTTCAGAATTAGGAAGAGTGATGGAGTATACCGAGGTGGAGAGCCGATTGAGGTGCCGTCGGGTTTCGGTCCGCGGTCCCGTTATTACATCAGAATCAAAATCTAAAAGAACTAAACAAACCTATCAACTATGAATTACAAGATTCCTATCTATGAATCTTCTAAAGCTTGATCTCGAGTCTTGGTTGGTTCTTCATGCGGACTCTGATTTGAATCTTGATGCTTGTTAGCTGCAGGTGTTGGTTCTTTCCTTTTTCAACTTCTCAGATCAAGGCAGGACATGAAAAGATTGTGACTCAATCACGTCTTGAGCAGTCCACATTTTTTCTCCGCTTCTACACTTTGAGTTCACTTTTTTTCTTTTTCTTATTTTTTCCTTTTTTTGGGATTGAGAGTACTTCTATTAGTCATCTCGGATTGTTGACTCGCATTCTTGCCACGAGCTTCTGCTACTTCTAACTTGAATTGAATTCTGAAATGACTTCTGAAATGAGTTCCCTCGTTCTCCAAGTGGGCGCTTGCTACTACAACAAAACAGACAAAACAAAAGAAACTTTTCTGCCCAGTTTGCACTAGGAAGATTTGTGAGTTGTTATCAGACCTATGAATCACCTATGCTATTGATGAAGGATGCAATTGAAGACTAGACTAGGATGTGCGTCTCCTGTGAGTTAAACCAAGAAAATTTCGACCCGAAATAGGAAGTGTGTCTCCTAAATTTGAGATTGAGCTTGCGGAAAACTATAAACTAAGCTTGACTAAAGTAAAACTGACCCTATTCTCCAGGCGGGACCCCTGATTTCAAGGAAACTAAAGATTGATAACTTAAGAAAACTAAAAATTGACCATTTTTGTTTTCAAATCCAGACTTCCCTTTTTAATTTAAAATTATTGTCCTAGGAGAAAATTCATCAGACTCGGTTTTAATCTTAGGAGAAAGATTCATCAGACTAAAATTTTGATCCTAGGAGAAAGTTCATCAGACTATGTCTCTTTTCTTCTTCTTTTTTTGGTATCTTAGGAGAAAGATTCATCAGACTAAGATTTCTATCCTAGGAGAAAGTTCATCAGACTAGGTCTTCTATTTTAGGAGAAAAATTCATCAGACTAAGATTTCTATCGTAGGAGAAAGTTCATCAGACTAAAATTTCTATCCTAGGAGAAAGTTTATCACACTAAGATTTTGATCTTAGGAGAAAGTTCATCAGACTAGGTCTCTTTTTCTTTTCTTTTTTGGTATCTTAGGAGAAAGATTCATCAGACTAAGATTTCTATCCTAGGAGAAAGTTCATCAGACTTGGTCTCTAACTTTTTTTTGGTATCTTAGGAGAAAGATTCATCAGACTAAGATTTCTATCCTAAGAGAAAGTTCATCAGACTAAGTCTTCTATCTTAGGAGAAAAATTCATCAGATTAAGATTTCTATCCTAGGAGAAAGTTCATCAGAATAGGTCTTCTATCTTAGGAGAAAAATTCATCAGATTAAGATTTCTATCCTAGGAGAAAGTTCATCAGAATAGGTCTTCTATCTTAGGAGAAAGATTCAACAGACTCAGATTTCTATCCAAGGAGAAAATTTATCAGACTAGGTTTTCTATCTTAGGAGAAAAATTCATCAGACTAAGACTTTATTTGGATAAAATCCATCAGACTAGGGCCTTTTCCCCTATGAGGAAAAATATGAGTGCAATGGCAACATTTTATGCACATTAGCAAGACAAATAAAGGCAAAGATTTGAGAAACTTTCCTTTGTCGGTTCTTCTCTTCTCTTCTTTTTTTTTTCTTTTTTGAAACCAATTTCCTTGCACTACTTTATTCCTATTCAAATAAAGAATTTTTGTTCAGTTTTGAAAGTGGTGGTCGGTTTGTGGCCTTGAGTCTTAAGCAGCTTGGCTTTTGCTCGATCAGCTTGAGTCGATCTCAAGGGACTTTTCTGCACCAACTTGATTGTTTCACACCTAGTGCCATTTGTATTTGCAGCTCAATCAGCCTTATCCCAATTGGAGATCTTTTCTTAGGTGACCTTTTTTGATATCTTGAATGATTTCCTACTTTTGAGCAATTTATCTGTCAGAGAGAATCACAAGTTATCTTTGCTTGCGCCAAGTAGGCTGACAAGAGTCTTTTGGGGGAGCTTTTGCATGAATCTTCAAGGCATGTTGACAGTAACAATAGAGTGTGCTGGCTAAATTTACTTTGTGCAACTGAAAGCTGGTAGCAGATTTTGAAATCTTTTCTTGCTTGTTTTGACAAGGATGGACTCAGAGTGAAGGACACAAATGATGCAAAGAAATAATATTAACAAAAAATGTCCATGTCGGGAAGGATAGAAGGAAGTTTTTTTTAATAACTAACCTTAATGAATTATGACATGCATTTTGGACTTAATGGCCGATCTATCAAATTGACCTAATCTTTTGTTTTACCATTCCTATAACCTTCGAAGTCAAGCTTGTTTGTGCCAATACTTGCATCAGCTTCATGACTCACTTTCGACTAGTGGTGCCCTGAGGGGTTTTCACCAATAAGTCTCTCTCATTTGTTCATCTCTGCTTACTATTGCCTTACAGTGCCCGTGAAGGTTTTCACTAGCAAGACTCTCATTTTTTCTTTCTCTCTTTTTTTCTGTTGCTTTCTTGAGCAACTTGACAGTGTTCTATATCGTGTGACCACCGTTGCTCATTGCATGCTTCTCTTGGCATTCTCGAAGGCATATCGGGAGGTCTTTATTTGGAAGGTTTTTGGATAGGGTTGGAAAGAAGGGTCGGCATGAAGGCTCAAAGTAGACTCAAAATGAGGGGTTGTAGAGTTACAACTCTTGGAATCGACTCTTTCAAAAGTGAAATAAAATCTCTACCCCAGTTTCAGATACTAGGGACTTTTGGATTTTTTTTCTTCTTTTTTTTTGAATTCTTATTTGGTTAGACCGAACCGTGAGGCGGCCTACGTATCCTTTTTTTTAAAGGAATCAGGTCAAACGTAGTTCAAACACCTGACCTAACTATATTTTTTTAATCTTTCTTTCTTTTTCTTTTTCTTTTTCTTTTTCTTTGTCTTTTTTTCTTTTTTTTTGTTTTCAAAAAAAATTGTCCCAGCTTCTATTTTCTAAGGGCATGGACCTTCCACTATTCTTTTCTTTTTTTTTCATTTGAACTTTCTAAAAGTTGCCCCGATTTTTACTCTTGGGGCATATACTTTCATTTTTTTCATTTTTTTTGGACTTTTGACTCTTAACATGATTCCAAAAGAGGGTGGTCGAAGAAAATAACATAGTCTCAAAAAGGATAACGAAGGGTATAAAGTATTTAGATAGTAGAAAAAGGGCCTCCCAGCCTCGATATTGCCAAACATAGTGTGACGACTCGGTCAGTCGTCTCATGAGTTACTGCTCTGTTTTCCCCATTTCCGCTTCTTTATGCCTTGTTATCCATGTTTTGTGGTATCGAGTTGGTTGAATCGAATCCGGAATGATTTTGGTAAGGTTTGAGACACTTAGTCTCTTTTAAGGAAGTTTAAGTTGGAAAAGTCAACTGGATGTTGATTTATGTGTTGGAGGTCTCGGATGTGAGTTCCGATGGTTCGGTTAGCTTCGGAAGGTGATTTATGACTTAGGAGCATGATCGGAATGAGTTTTGGAGGTTCGGAGTAGATTTAGGCTTGAATTGGCGAAGTTGGTATTTTGGCGATTTCCGGTTGGTTGGTGAGATTTTGATATAGGGGTCGGAATGGAATTACAAGAGTTGTAGTAGTTCCATTATGTCATTTGGGATGTGTGTGGGAAATTTCAGGTCATTCGGACATGGTTTGGTCGAGTTTTTTTTATCAAAAGCGGAATTTAGAAGTTTTTGGAATTCTTAGGCTTGAATCCAATGTAATTTTGGTGTTTTGATGTTGTTTTGGGAGTTCCGAGGGTTGGAACAAGTTTGAATGAGGTTTTGGGGTATGTTGGTGCCTTTGGCTGAGGTCCCAAGGGCCTCGGGTGAGTTTCGGAGGGTTGAACGGATCATTTGAAGTTGAAGAAAGTTGCAGATTTTGGTCTTCAGCAGTTGCAGGTATTTTACTCTTCGCGTTCGCGAGTGGACCCTCGCTTTCGCGAAGAGTCAGCGGAGGAAGGTGTAAATTTAGCCTTCGCGTTAGTAAGGCAAGCTATGCGTTTGCGAAGGGCTATGAGATTGTGCATCACATTCGCAGTTGTGGTGTCGCGTTCACATAGAAGGATAGAGCAGCTGATCTTTAGGGTAATTAACTCATCGCGTTCGTGAAGGTTCGTCTGGGTAAAGCATTGCATTCGCGAGGGTCTGGTCGCGATCGCGTAAGAGGAAATTTGGTCAAAGTTAAATTGCATTTCACGAACGCGAGGCATTGACCGTGTTCGCGAAGAAGGATTTTCAGGCTTGGGTAGAAAGT